TTGCCCCCCCAAAAAACAAACAAATGGATTCCGCCCTCCCAATGGTATGTTTTTGTGATAGGTATATTGTGCCAACCAGGCCTCCATAGGAATATGTGGGCAGAGTTTAATCAGGTTGTTGCTTGATTGGAGAGCGATCAAGATAAATACTTTCCGCAGCCAGCATCCTGTCTCTCTTCCTCCCTGGTGATTGGACCAGCATGCTGCTGCTTGAGCTAGTTCTTTGCCTCAACGGTGTGCGGCACTACCTGTGGGCCAAGCCAACCCATGGATCATGTAGCTAGAGCTTGTGTCTCCTTTGAGACCTGCTTCACCATGCTGCTGGTGCTGTACATCATTTGAGCTTGAGGCTGGTAGATACTGTCATCATGTATTGCTGGAGTTTGAGATTACATCAGGTCCTGCCTCACTAAGCTCCCTCACCCAACCTGTTGTCTGCTGCCTGCTGGCAAACTCTGCCTGTCTTACTTGACCTTGGACCTGGCAGCCCACATGAGTTGAAGGATCTTCAGTATATTAACTGTTCCACGAAAATGAGTTGAACTGAGCCCTCTGGATTGCTGTGTGGACTAAATAGCTGTTAGATTCATTCTCACTGTATAAACCTATCCTTTTACATATACACAATCATAAGTGTCCTGGTTTTGTTTCTCTAGAGAACCCTGCCTAACACAGTATTTTAAAAAAATTTTTTTTAACAAAAAAAAACTTATCACCTTCAAAGCACTCTCCATTACATTTAATACATTTGTGAAATTTGTGATTCCATTCTTGGAACCATTTTTCAAACTCATTTGTTTGGATGGTTGACAGCACCTCCTTAGTTTGTTTCTTCGCCTCTTCTACATCATCAAATCTCTATCCTTACATGTCCCTCTTTATTTGCAGAAACAAAAAGTAGTTGCTTGGAGCAAGGTCTGGTGAGTAAGGTGTGTGGGGCAAGAGAGGAATGCTGCTTTTTGGCAAAAACTGGTACACTGAGATGGCTGCATGAGCAGGTGCATTGTCATGGTGGCGAAACCAGTGCCCTGTCTGCCGCAAATCAGGTCTTTTTTGTCACATACTGTTATGAACTCTTTTCAAACCCTCTAAATAGAGAGCTTGATTAACATTCTGACCTGGTGGGATGAACTCCAAATGCACTACCCCCTTCACCCCTCAAAAAAACAAATAAGCATCGTCTTGATCTTTGATTTTACTTGACGAGCTTTTTACGGGCCAGGTGATGATGGCCTCTTTCACTGACTTGACTGATGTTGGCGTTCAGGTTTGTAAGAATAGCACCATGTCTCTTCACCAGCATTGACCTTGGGGAAAAAGTGTGAGTCTCTTTGGAGCTGTTCTTTCAAAGCATGGCATGTTTCCACTCTGCTTTTTTTCCTGGTCAGTCAGAACCTGAAGCAACAATTTCACAGCAACCCTTCTCATCCCCAAATCTTCCATTAAAATTCACTCTAAGCTCCAAGATAGTCCAGATGACTTCCCTATCTTTTCAGTGGTCTGTTGCCAGTCTTCTGGCACAAGTACACAAATTTTGTTGACATTTTCATCCATTCGAGTATTGGACGGACATCCCGAATGAGATTTGTCATCAATCAAAATTTCACCTTCTTTGAAACGAGAAAACTACTCATGCATTTGAACCTTTCCCATAGTGCTGTCCTTCTGACATGTGTTCAACATCACAAGTTTTTGCAGTATGTTTCCCAAGCAGAAAACAAAATTTCACAGCTGCACACTGATCTCTTAAATCACCCACCATAAAACACGAGGTTCAAGTGAAACTGCTTTTATGAAAAAATTCACAGTGACCAGAGAGAACCTTCCCTAGTGATGCCACTGGGTGAACTAGCTCAGAGCATAACTCAGAGAGTTAGTTACTCAATGCTCACCTAGGGGGGGAAATGCATACTACAAAAGCTCCCCCTAGTGGAGCTTTTTACATATTTTGGGGGGGGAGGGTAACCCCTCGTATGGACATATTTGCAATATATCTAATCTACCGCTGTTCTGTACTGGGGAATTGAATCAGAACCCTACTTCCTTTTTTCCAATCTCGAGGGGAGAGCTCTGGTGGTATAGTGTTACACATTGAGCTGCTAACCACAAGATGAGCAGTTTGAAACCACATCTGCTCCCTTTCTTCTCCCATGAAAAGTTACAGCCCTCACTGGGGCAATGCTACCCTGTCCTATCGGGTCACTATGACTGGCATCTACTTGATGGCTAAGTTTTGAGTTTTGGAGAAGGAGGGAGGAGAGAGGGAGGGAGCAAGAAAGAGAAAGGGAGAGAGAATTCTCTCTAGGCTAGTTGGACCCACTTCTCCTCCTCCCTCTACACACTGGGAGCCATACAATGGCCACCTAATAGATTACTGTTTCTTAGGTTAGCCTTAATTCACACACACCTATAGTGACATAATTGCATACGACTGTTAGTTTTTTGCTTTTTTTCCCCCAGATTATATTTTCCATGGTAAGTTATGTCACTTCTAACATATCTTATTATGCATTCATGAATCATAAGTATATCTGTGACAAAAGGGAAATGCCATTAAAGCGCAGAAAGAATACATGCTTTAAAAGATTCCAAGGCCTGTTTCATCAGAGATAATCATAGATTGCATTTCTTGGGTCTCGCAGAGCTCTGCATAGTCAGCACATTTAGTCAAACAGCTGTCAGCTAGAGTGGCCCTCATCACCATTGGGCATACCAGCGAGTTTTCCTGGCAGCAAAGGTACCTGGGCACGTGACAGCATCAGCAGAAGGCAGGACGTGGCAAGTGCAACAGCCGTGAACAGAAAGGGATTACATTAAGCAGCATGTTCGCCCTTAAGAAACCCTCTCCAAAGATTCATCCTCAAGTTGAGAGACATCCACAGGCCACCGGTGAGCTCAATGCCCCCAACTTCTCTGGGAGGAAGCTAGAGGAGAAAAGTGCTCCACTAGGAGGAAGCCCAAGACTCATTGGACTCTCAGAACTCTCAGCAGAAATAAAATAAAGCTGAACCAAAGATTCATTTTATGATACATTTTATAAATGCCCAGGAGACCAAGGATCTGTTCGACTGGTTGGTAATTTTGATTTGGCAGGTTCACGAGATTGAACGCGGTAAACTATGAAATCCCTAGTAGTTGTACAACTTCCTGGTCCTCGTATGCTGTTGTTGTGGGGTGCCATGGACTCAGTTCCGGCTTACAGTGACCGTGGGCACAAGAGGAAAACACTCAGCCCTGCCTCCTCCCCACAGTTGTTCCCGTGCTCGAGGCCCTGGTGGTAGCAGCCATTGTGCCGATCTAGTTCCTTGAGGGCCTCCCTCTTGTTTGCTGCCCCTCCACTTTCCCAAGCATGATGTCCTTCTCCAGGGGCTACACTCGCCCCTGACAACATGTCCCACGTATGTAAGACGGCGTCTCGCCAGGTCCTGCGCCAGCCTCACAATTGTTTAAGGCCACCATTGCAGGCACCGTGTATCTCTCTTTCACCGAAGGAGCACTCGGGTCATGTTTCTTACAAGACGGACTTGCTTGTCCTTTTGGCAAGCCATGGTACTTCCAATCTTCTGCTTCAGTGCCACCGTTCAAAGGCAGCGATTCTGTCTGGTCTTTCTTAGTCAGTGCCCAACTTTCACATGTACCTGAGGTCATTAAAAAGACCAGGGGTTGAGTCTGCTGCATCTCAGGCCTCAAAGTAACATCCTTGCTTTCCCACACTTAGAAGAGATCCTGTGCAGTGGATTCACCCAATGCCACAGTTTGATATCTTGGCTGCTGCCTCCATGAGCATTGTGGATCCAAGCAAGATGGAATCTTGGACAACTTCGACTTTCTCTCTCTCTCATCATGTTACCTACTGGTCCGGTTGTGATAATGTTGATCTTCTTTACATTGAGTTGCCATCCACACTGAAGGCTTTGATCCTTGATCTTCATCCGCAAGTGCTTTATGTCCCCTCCACTCTCAGCGAGCGAGGTTGTGTCATCTACATAGCTCAGGTTGTTCGTAAGCCTTTCTCCAATGCTGATGCTCCATTCTTCTTCAGAGAATCCAGCTTCTCTGTTAATGGGTCATATTGTCGTGGACTGTGTGTGGCTGTGATGCTGGCAGCTATGTCACAGGTATTTCAAGGGCTATCAGAGTCGCCCAAAGTGAATAGCTTTCAGCAGAGCTTTCAGACTAAGAACAGACTGTGATGAAGAAACTGCCTGCCTACTTCGAATGAAGTTGCCACTGAAAACCTTATGCCTAGCATGGAAACATTGTCAGATATATCTTATAGCTAATTGTATTATATGAATTAGGTGAAATGAGAAAACAACAACAAACTATCAATAATGTATTTACTTTTACTTTTAAAAGATTAAAAATCCTAACCCCCATATAAAATCATCAGATAGATGTAATGTGCATGGGTATACATACATGCACACACATATACTCTGGAATGTGAATTTCTAGAAACTCTCAGTTGCCCAATCCTCACAAGCTCAGTTGGCATCCTGTTGTTCCTGCTGAAAGATTCCATTGTGCAAATATTTAGGCTAAGACTTTTAAACATTCATCAACTTTTATTTCGCTCTCCAAAATAACATCCTCTAGAGGGCTCCCAACACGCTGCGTCCTGTTGCTTATTGACATGGCAGCGATGGACTTTCAGTAATGGTGACCTCAGACTCAGCGTGATGCCTATGGAAAGGTTAAGCAGGACAACCAGAAGTGGGACACAGATTCTCTTATTAATTGACTCTGTTATATCACTCTGCTTTCCACTTATTCTCCTTCCTCAGGTGATGACTTTAGCAATAAAATTCTCAATTCCTGAGTCTTCCTGGTAGCCTGACCTCAAGGAGCCCTTGACCCAAAGTCCACAGGCTATAAAAAAAGTTCGAAATAGAAATGGGGGCTCGCACATGTCCAGGACACGTCATAGACCTCAGAATACCAGTAGGTTAAATGTCAATGCAATTTTTGGAAATGGAGAGAAAAAAATCTGAACTTACTTCATCCACACGCCCAACAGCCCCAAAGATCCTTGCAACTTGTCCGATGAGGTAGGGGAACCGCTCACCGATCTCTTTCAGCACTGGAAGAAAACTGCTCAAGGCCACTGGTTCGTAGCCTGCTATCTCTATGAGGATGTTTAGGATGACATCATTATGGGTCGAGTCGTTCAACTGCCCAATTAGGAAAGGTATCCCCTCCTGAATTATCTACAAAAAGAAAGGAGTGGAGGAAAGAAGGGAGAAGAAGCAAAGAGAGGAGTATTTCAGTGAACCGTGCTTAGTTCCTTCTTAAGCTAGAATCGGTCTTGAAAATAACTAAAATATTTTTTGCATTAAATCAGAACTCAACACACTCTGGTTATTTTCATTGGAACACAAGCTAATCTCTCAAGTTTGGAATTTAAAATTTATACCAAAACCTTCAGCGGTTTCCATTTCTTTAAAACAACAACAACAAAAGCTTTGCTGTGCTACAGCAGAGTGAGATTTATAAAGGTCTCTGATGCTGCTATTCATAAATCATGTTTGCTGTGTTATGTCCTCATTAGGAATGAGGGATGATGGCACAACATTTCTTCCCAATCGCTGTGGGAGCTGGAATGTAAGGGCACTGTAAGTATTGTAATGTAAGTAAGAGACCCTCAATGATTTGAATCAAAGCCTTCTAATCGGAAAACAGATAAGATTCTGAAATATTTAATAATTAAAGTAGCAAAGCAAGAAAGAGCTACCACATTTAAACTACTTTACCATTTGATTATAAAGATGTAATAGTAACATAAATATCATTATGGTGTAATAATTCCCATTATGCCACTACTCTATTTCTCTCTTGATTCTTAATACATTTAAAAATATGATCAAACCCAAGCAAAACACATTGCCATCAAATTGATTCTGACTCATAGTAACCCTATAGGACAGGAAAGAACTGGCCCTGTGGGTTTCTGAGACTATAACTTAAAACAATTTTTAAAAACAGTTTTATTGGCATATAACCCACATATCATACAATTCAATAGTTCTGTCATATCAAAAAAAGTGGTACAATCATTAATTCTTTATGGGAGTAGAAAGCTTTATCATTCTCCCAAGGAGCAGCTGATGGTTTTGAACTGCGGACCTTGAGATTAGCAGCCCAACATGTAACCTGCTACACCACGGGGGTTTCTTTTTCAAATATAGGAATGAAATGATTCATATGAAAAACATGTGAGTTCTTGAGGAATAAGGCCACTATGCTAATACATTGACAATGAATTGTTGTGTCTGCTAAAATACCCATACAGTAAATACAAAAGATCAGCAGACAGAAAACTAGACAACAAAAGTCAAAACAACTTCTCTATTATATTTCCCATATTTTTGTTGCCTTATTTACCTTGTGTTTTGCTGATTCTCTTTTTTTTTTTCTTCTTATTTTTATTTCTGGGTCACTTCCAGTAAAAATAATAGCTTCCTGAAAATTTGCTTTTCCTTCCATGTTTCTGGCCCTATGTATCTCTTGTCTCCATATATGACATCATTCTTCCAGGATCCTCAAGCCAGAAATTTGAAAATCATTCTCGACTCCCAGTCTTCTTTGTCCAGAGCCTTATCTATGTAATCACCCAGTTTTTAAAAAATCTTATCTCCACGTCATCCCACAGGAGCCACAGGTGGTCAGAAAAGGTGAAGTGCATAACTACTACCTTAGCCTTTTGTGCTGTCCAGGGACTCTTGTAGGTACGTAGAAGTTGGTGGTTCAGAGCCCATCCAGAGGCACCTGGGAGGAAGCTCCAGGCAATCTGTTTCTAAGAGTGAACAGCCTTAAAAACCGAATGGAGCTGTTCTCTGTCCTACACATGAGGAGGAGCGATGAGTAGCAACACACTCAACCGCAAGTGTGACTTGTGTCTGTAACCCACTTCCCTCCATTTCCACTCTTCCATTTACTCAGTCACAAATACTTACTCAGTGCCTCCTATTTGCAGATATTGTTCAAAGTTGGAGATATAATTGTTAGCAAGTCTGACAGGATTCCTATTCCAGTTTAATCTAGCCCTGGTGGCACGGTTCTGACACACGTTAACTGCAAGGTCAGCAGTTTGAAACCATGAGTGGTTCTGCAGGAGAAAGACGGTGCTTTCTACTCCACATACGGAGTTACAGGCTCAGAAACTCAACAAGGGCAGTTCTACCTGGTCCTATCGGGTCCCTGGGTGTCAGCATTGACTTGATGGTGGTGAGGTTTTGAGAATTCTTGTGGCGTAGTGGGTTACAAGTTGGCCTGCAAATTACAAGGTCAGCAGTTCAAAAGCACCAGGTGCTCCTCAGGAGAAAGATGAGGCTTTCTATTTCCCTAAAGATTTACAGCCTTGGAAATCCACAGGGAATGCTCTACTTTGACCTCTAGGGTCGCTATGAGTTGGAATGAACTCAATAGCAGTGAGCTCGTTTTTGTTGTTGTTTGGTTTTGAGTAAAGAAGCAAAATACTTAGACTAGAAATGCCTAATTTTAAATTTTAATACATTCTAGGTAAGCAAATCATAGGATATTGTGAGAGACACCCTAGCATATTAACTTAGGCTATGGGTTAGAGAAGGCCTTTCTCGTTTAAGCTGAGATCACTGGCCCAGTCATCTGCATTGAATTAGTCCAATAGCCTCCTTCTCGATCAGCCTGCCTTTAGTCTCACTCATTCAATCTCTTCTCCAACCTGTGGCCCTCTCCATGTTCCTTCCCTGCTTAAACCCTTTCAATAGAACATGACATCGCTTTTGCAAATTGATTGCTTTCAACCTTCTCAGATGCCTCACTTTATCCAGACCCCAGCACCCATCACACTTCAACCACACTCAATTATGTAAGCACTTTCTTGACCTGCTACTTTGATTCTTGCAGCTGGGACTTTCCTCATGTGATCTCCTCTGCCTGGAATTCTTACTTCCCCCTTGCTTGCTGGACTAACTTCTACTCACTCTTGAAGTCCCCGATGAACTGTGACCTCCTCAAAAATCTCTTCTGGGATCCCTTCTTCAGCTCTCAGAATAGTTAGTGCCCCTGAAGAAGCTCCTTTTGCACCTAACTGGTACC